CTCTCTCTATATATATATATATATATATATATATATATATATATAGAGAGAGAGAGAGAGAGAGAGAGAGGAGGAGAGAGACCCTGTACAATTTTGCTATTACGACCGGTATATATATATATATATATATATATATATATATATATATATATATATATGTATGACTGCAAAATTTTCCAAATCGTGTAACAGCATAATTGTCAATCCTACAAAATGTTTAATGTCTAAAAACCCACTAAAGTAAATGAAGTTTTCAGATTAGGCGTTTGACCATCTTGATACCATTTGTAGGAAGAATTACTGAAAAGTCCTTTGAGTTATTCAGCTAGAAATAGAAAAGGTTTGAATGATTTTGTTAGCCCCACTCTGTCTTCCCAAATGAGCAATGATGAGAGTACAAACATCATTCAAGCCTTCAGTTATGGTACCAATATTTATACTCTGGCTTCTATCTTCAAATTCCATTCAAGAAACATCAACAGCAGGGTGAATAATTTTAAAAAGAGGGTACACTTGAGAGAAATCTGTATCAGGAGGTCACTACAGGAAGAACGATTAACTTAGAGATAAAGGGAACAATTAAAACAGATCTAAATCAATCCATAAAACGTTTGGTACGTTAAAGAGGAGTTCCATCTATGACAGTCCAAAGAGCAGTAAAAACTTGAAAATTAAATCAGACGTGAATCCTGTGAGGCAACCTGTTACTCCTGGACAGAATGTTAGAAGGTTAGAGAGGTTAGAAATGGCGAGGCCGATTATCATCTTTAATAAGTTGGAAAATGATCAGGGATATATATATATATATATATATATATATATATATATATATATATATATATATATAAACTTTATTCCATATTCCAATCCTTCATGAGTTTCGGATCCTTAGCTATGTTTAATTCATGATGAACATGTCATTTTTCTTTATGATCGATATCATCACGATTCTTCATTTAATCTTAGATAGTAATTTTACGTGACTATTGCTCAAAATAGATTCCAGTATGTTATAAAAAAAACTCGGAAAATTCCAGTAAGAAATCTTTAATCATTTCAAAGTTAAAACGGTTCAGATCTTAATCTATCAATTAGACAAATTTGCTTTTACTCGATTTGGCCAATTTTGCTATTACACTCCGTATATGTAGAATTTCAATTGTTCATAAGCGCTTAATAAACATAAATCTCTGGGTCAAGAAGGTTGTATAACAGCTATATTTTAAGATATGCTGCCGCAATTTCACTATAATTATAACTGCCCGTAGATTCAGACACTGCCCGCTTCATAAGAGAAGTATCGTAGACATTGCCCATCTTCTCAGGTAAGACCAAAGCCTTATCAGAATATAAATATCGAATGCTGTTTATATACAGAATAAATATTTACAGAGAATATTAATTATTAATATAGGACATATATAAGTAAAAAAATGACATGCCATTGGCCGTAGTTGCAAGAATAGAGGAAATTATAATTATATGAAAAGAGACACCTGCAATAAACGCAATATATCCCGACATCGGAGATGACATACTAAAATATGTATGTAAATAATAAATGCAATTTTAATACGTATAACATGTTCACAGAAACATTGGTTTGTGAAATCTTAGTAATCTTCTGTCTACTACGTCAATGATCTATTGCTGAATAAATAAACTGTTGTATTCTTTGCAAGTATAAATTGCATATCAGCTGACCGAGGAAATGTTTCTTAGAATCACATTAGCCTCTGTCGTAAGAACCAATTTTTGCAATTGGTCATATTTAAATACGTTTCGGTCATTTCGTGTCTCTAATTGATTCTGCGATTGGAAGAGTAAAAGACGAATGTCACAGGAAATATAATTTCTAGAATGGCGCACTAAATAACCTTATTGGCCTGTTGTGACTGTTTTGTTTATTTGTTGTTGTTTTGGGGAAGGTTTTCCTTTCTTTTAGGGATCCTATTCTTGGAGTGTCCTTCAGATCGATGTTTACTTTTACTTTTGCGATAATATCAGCGAAAATATTTACATCTTTATATTTTATCTTGACAATTACAGGTTTTTCTTCGTTTAGAAAATCTGTTAAATTGTCAATACTTAGCGTATAATGGATGTCCATAATAATTCTCTGGTGTGATGCTTGGCTAATATATAAGTTATATTTGACTCGTGGGGATAGGCTCTGTCGGTGTCTGAGCCACGGTAGAAAGCTAAAATGTATTTTGTCTTTTTGCCTTACGACACAAAACCTAGAAAAATTATATTAAATTAATACACACACACACACACACATATATATATATATATATATATATATATATATATATATATATATATATATAAAATTTCCAAGAGGATAGAATTCAGGTAAAATTTCCAAGAAGATAGAATCCAATTAGAACTCAATGTTCACCTTTAGACCTTCCTGTTCTTCTTTCTTCTGTTACCCCTCTCTAGAGCGTTCATTTCCTTCTCACACTTGTCTTCCACTCCCACCCCTACACTCTCCCTAAAATTATATTTTTTCATAGCCGGAGTTATATTTTCCGATTTCTTTTTGAATTTATAGGGCTGATGAATTGGATCGTGATTACCGTTCCAATGTAATAAATTATATCCATGGAATATTAGTGCTTGAGCCTTTTTATTATACATACATACATATATATATATATATATATATATATATATATATAAAAGAAATATGTTGTAGTGGTTCCAACGAGAGAAAAGAAGAGAAGAGAGGTGCCGCAAACGTTTTTGGTTGTAATGTGGATTTATTTAGAAAAAAATATTACGCTTTGTTTTACATAATTTTAACGGCACGTGTTTCTGGTCTCGCGACCGTCTTCAGGTAAAAGCGGAGATTTCCACATATTATTAAAAATAATTAATTTTTCCTTATGTTCAATGTTAAATATTCTTGATATGAGACATTTTCTGTTTGTGTGTTGGTAATCCGAATTTCTTTCTTGAATTGTATATATATATATATATAGACTTGTAACCACAGAAATAAAACAGATTTGAACAAAATTAATGTGATGTTTTTTTCTTTATACCTTTAGGATCCTTTCGACCAATGCCTTTTTCCAAAGGTATTTATTGGCAATTTACAAACATAATCAAGACCTATCAATAATCTCCAAGAAATCGCAGGTTGTTTTTCGACTGTTAAGAAGTCTTAAAAGTCTTGTTTTATTGTCCAATGCTATGTAGAAGCAGGCTGTTTCGACTTTAGTTTGTTGTTCTTGCAGGGAGACTGGCAAATTTTGACCTTCAATCAACGGTAATGAACATATAAAATCGTCCTTCTGCTTGCATAGGCTCTTCTAGTAGAATTTGATATACAAAGACCCTAAGACTCTAAGATGTTATACCGAGCGAATAATATGTAGAATAGAAAAGGATTTGTTCTCATACTCGGCTGCACAATCAGGATTATCCAATAAATGCCGCCCAATCGACGAGTCATGAAATCTTTGGGTTGTTTTTTGTTGTTGTTTTGTTTTGTGTTTTTTAAATACGGTTATAACTACTCGAACGCAAATACGCAGGAACATATTGCCAAATCCGCGTTTCTAACGTCTGATTGGTTCTTCCTATATAAACCGCTTCACCTCGGCATTTGAATTTGTATACTTCTTTTAAAATAGGACAAACGATTCTTAGTAAAGGAAAGGAACGCAGATTTTGTTTGAAAAACAATGCGCAATTTAACAGCATTGTAACATGACGCAATTCAAGCTGAAATTATGTCAGACAACAGCTGACACTTCCTGCCTAGTCAAGGCAACTTTAAATAAATAGGGTACCGACTCGTGCATAAAAGCACTGGTTCTTTAAAGTGTCTGATTTTACCATTTACTGTTTGATTTTATTTGTGGGATATCCATTATTTTCAAACATTTTTGGATACTAGCACATTCAGCATCTAACAAACAAGGAAACAGATCAACAAAGCACAATGAACTAACGTAGAAATTGGACCAATTTTTCGGACCTTGAGAACTAGAGTCCCAACTAGTGTATAAGCCTGTGAATGTGGGTTTGCGGTAAATGCAGGTATAAAAAACACGTCTCTGCGTTCAAAGAAAACCTCATGAAGGAGCAATATTCCATCACTGTCAACCTCCAGAGTAAACTGATGGGATGGATGAAGAGAATTGTTCCACAAAAATCATTTTCATTATTGGCGGAAGGAGAAAACGGACGTACCTCATGTAGACGTGGGGTTTATGGAATTTGTCAAACAAAATTAAACTCGTGATAACCCATGAAAATATTGGCCAGTATAGGGCCCAAAGGACTACCCATAGAAACACCGTCCGTCTGGGTATACATGACATCATAGAAATTAAATTCAACATCTTCCTTCGCCAGACACATGCATTCTAAAAACAGATTTTCAGGAATGCTGGCTGGGCACAAATTGTCTCTATAAAGAACACCGGCGCATATATTAATGGTCTCATGAAGAGGTACATTAGTATATAAACTAACGATGTCAAACGACTCAGTATGTTTCTTACTAGATTCGATACCAAAATTACAAATGAAATTTGCAATTATGTTCCAATCAATCAATCAATCAATCAATCAATCATATATATATATATATATATATGGCATAGAGAGAAAGATTAATATATCACTAAATAATTACAAAAGATACAGTGGATATTGTAGCCCAAATTATTCTATACGGGTAACAGATAGATAGATAGATAGATAGATAGACAGGCATATATATATATATATATATATATATATATATATATATATATATATATATATATATATAATTGGTATATACGGAATGAATTCCAATAACCAACAATTACTATTCTTAAAAGAGTGCTCAATACAAAGTAGAGCAGATATAATTATTATTTATAAAAAAATTATAACATGATGATGTTGAAAATAAAACCTTATTTATTTTCAACATCATCACTTGATAAGAGTGTGTTGAAAGAAAATGGCTATTTTTGTAGTGATTTTATAACATACATATGTTATAATTTTTTTATAAATAATAATTATATAGATAGATAGATAGATAGATAGATAGATAGATAGACAGACAGGCAGACAGACAGGCATATAGATAGATAGATAGATAGATAGATAGATAGATAAGGAAAATATATGACAAAGTGATTTTTTTTTGTCAACATAAAAAGTTTTCAATTTAGCAATTGTAGCAAAAGAAGAGAAAGAAAACAAAAAATAAGTGGCTAGGGTCCGCCGGCAAACCGGTTATTGTTCTTCGCCGTCAGTCGCCTCAAGGAAAAAAATCAATTGCGAGACTCCTTTTTCTCAGCCGTTACACCGGGCAGTCGTGAAACGGATACATAAAACAAACGCGTTTACTCTAATCGCCCCTTGATCCGTCAGTCTCTTCGCATGTCCGACTCCAATTCCGCCGAAAATGATTCGCCTTTTGCTGTGCCGCTAGCGCCTTGTCTTCTTTGTTTACTAGTTTTTCACTACTGCTGCGTTCTGTCGTCTGTTCTCGTCACATCTCGTTTTTAACGAGACCGGTGCACACGAATCGCGTCTCCGACAACAGCCATGCTTCCCTTTGGTGTGTGTGTGTGATTTATGAATTATTTTTCCGCTTTCAAAATACATTAAAAACTAATCCCCAAAACTTCGTTAATTGCTCACAAGATCACCATAAACACTCGTAGATTAGATAATGGCTAAGCAAAACGTTGCTCATTCCTGGCACATAGCGATAATTATATCACAGCGAACCAAAATAGATCTATTAACATATATATATATATATATATATATATATTAGTAGAGAATACCAAAAATGTTATATAGCATTCACTCCAAAGAAACACTTTGAATACACGAAGCTACAATTATGAAAAATCCATCTTTAAATAAAATATCATTAACCGGAGGAGATGGCATTGTAAAATGTGTAGAATATTTAAAATACGTATACAATAATTTTCTATAAGTACAAATTATTTAAATTGCTTTTTTTCTGGTTTTGTCAAACTCTGAGAATTCGTTGTAAACATGACGTCATTTATATGATATATGTATATTGTCAATTGTAAATCAATGTTTTAAATGATGCTAGGATAAAACTAATAAAACATTTGTGTTCGAAACACAAAAATCTGTTTTCTGGCATGTGTGGTTTTCACGCAAAGCTAATCAATAGTTATTCCCACATAATACACGGCGTTAATATACAAACATGATTTTTTTCATTATTACTTCCACAAGAGTTTACTGTTTCTCTGTTTATGAATAACAGAGGAGTGGGTGCATGCGTGTATTATTTAATATACACCGGAAGAGAAATTTAAAATGTCAGTTGAAATTACGTAAAAAAGAAAAAAAATCCCAATCTTTAAAGCCAAATTATTTTAATTAAGTATCATCTTTTTTTTTCTAAATGTTGCTATGAACACTGAAGAATTATCAATTGAGATTTTAGGTAAATATTTTTTTTTCTTCGATAGCGAAGCAAACCGCCATTTTCGACAAGCGAGGAATGGAAATTACTGGTGACCAAATGTCGAGGAAAATTAAAATGAGGCAAACATCTGAAACGGGAAGTCGTCTGCCTCGGCTTAAAAATAATAGAAAAAAGCAAATCGATTTTAATGAAAAAAAAAAGTCGTTTCGATGTTCATCGAAATATTTATTTTGTAATTGCGTTTTAATTAACTCGTCATCTCCTGTTTTATTAACCGTTTGCAATCGGGATATTTTGAGCAATATTATACCATTAAAAAAGATTTCTTCTATGGTACCTAGACTTTATGAATTTCATCGTAGTACTAGATCAACGGCAAGGTTTCATCATTTTACAGTTGAAATTGCTCGATATAATCGTAAGTTCTATGCTGACAGTTACTTCTACCGCACTTCTCGCTTGTGGATCTCTCTTCCGGCTTCTTGCTTTCCAGTCAAGTTTGATCTTAAAAAATTTAAATTCAATGTCAATCATTATCTTCTGTCTTCTTAATTCTTGGGGTTCAAAGCTAAAAAATATTTTTATATTGTACTTTTTCAAGATAATAAATTCTTTAGTGATATGTCTTACAAATTAAGCCATAGCTGGAGGAGAACAAGCGGATTCATAACTTTCCATGGTTATTTTGCACGTAAGTGATTATTTTGAACCCAACTTGAATTTGAACTTGACTCACGGATTAACAAGTCAGATCCATTGTGCAACACTCACATCCATGTTTACAGCACCTTATATTCTCGAGCGGTTACCCATCTTGGAACTAACCAGGCTCGACGGTACTCAACTTCGGTGATCATAGGAGAACCGGTGTTTCAGCTTGATATGACCATAAGCGGGAAATAGATAGATAGATAGATAGATAGATAGATGTAACATATAAGTATGTATACAAGCGTATTCAGGTCCTGCCGGGCTGTTAATACTTAAAAAAAAACAGCTGTTTTTAGGAGGTAACGGGTGTTCCAATAATTTGGATCGATTTTAATGCGAATTAAGTTTAAGCATCTAATTATTTTTTTTTCTTTTTCTTTTAGATTTGGCGGATATTTTGGCGATATTAATTTTTTTCACATAATTGCCATGAGTTAAGTAACATGATCCAATAGAGAAATAAATAAATTTTCACAAATAACACTGATTTATTTACTGCTGACTTTGATCCGTCTTATTGAAACACCCTTTATAACAATTTAGAATTCGTAGTTCTTTTTTTGATTTCTAAATTTTGGCTATTACGTTAGAGAATGCATTTTGAAGTTAACGGAAGAGGCTAGAAGAATAGTATTGTCTATACTATGATTAGGTATGTTGAAACGAATCTTCCATAGAATAGTTCGTGTTTTATTAATTGTCTTTTATCCATTGTTAAATAAGACTCTAAATTCAGAGATTGTCTCACAGACATAATTGCTGCTGTCATAGATGCTGCAATAAATCTGGTAAATGGTAAACTACCGGCGTAACGGTGACAGTACGCTTCCAGTTTGGGCATTGTGCTTTATTGCATGCATAATTACCTCTGCAAGCAATTGGCCGTTTTCGCTTGGAAAATGTCAGTATTGATAGCAAATCGGATGATTTTCGCTTTGCACTAAGGAGAGGTTCATTTTTCCAGTTTTTTTTTTTTTTTTTCTTACAATATTCACTTAGTACAAGGCCCAAAGGCCACTAAAGCTAGAGGTTTACAGAGAAAGAAGTCGAGCTTATACTCATTTATGTGGAAGTTAACGGTTAATCCTAGACTTGAACAAGTTAAGATTGTAACGATCAGGGAAGCAACCTCTTGGGAGTCGGTTCCAGAAGGCGGTGGTTCATGGGAAAAGCTCTGCAGTCAATGTATTAGATTAATTTCTGATGTTGGGGAAATGTTGACTAAAAATCTAAATGAATTAAGGGCTTTAATAACAGTCTATTGATGTAATTCTCTAATATAATTTGATCATTTAAATCATAAAATAATAATGCAAATTGAAATTTCAGCTCACTAAAAAAAAAATCCACTGTTAATAACTCATTCTCGAATTGCCCCCTTATTCTCTTTGTATAGTAAGCCGAAGGTGCACATCCTACGCATGCCCCACCAAAATAATACCATGCCCCACCGGTGGGGCATGCTCCCCACGTTTGGAAATATTGGATCAGACTAAATATTAATTATTGCTGCTATCCTAGAGATGACTATCGTCGCTTTTCAAACTTGAAAAGTTCGAAATTCGTTTACGACGCCTTGTGATGTATTTTCAGTCTTCAGCTTTTTCGCACGGCCTTATCGACGCAAACCCATCGCTACTCGTTTGCCATTTCCATGGAAAATATTAAGTATAACTTTAATCTTTCATGGAACCAGCTAAGAATTTTGCAGACAAAAACAAGCTTTCCACTAAATTGAATCACTAACTTGCTTTCGATTACGAAGAGCGTTCCAATTCGAAAGCTTCGCGTCATGAATCGCTGCTTTATCGTAAAGGCTCCCGCGCGGATGCTTCCCGGGAAATATAACCGTATCTCTTTAAGTTAATCTTAATTTATCTACTATCACTGCGTAATCTCCACTTCCTAATTTTTTGTCTTGCATATATATCACACATCTAGTTTCAACAAACCTCTACATAGAGTGACCCTTGAACTTTATATTAGGAGAACTTGCATGAAAAAATAAATCCAATATGCTGGGATAAAAGTTCACGATTTCGGTGAAGCGTTTCATACGAGCATATATCTGATTCCAGTATTTCTCCTGTTCCTTCGCCAATCACCATTTTTGAGCACGATTCCCTTAAACGCAATGCGATAAGTTGTAAGCGATCTGGGATTGCAAAGGAAATATTTGTCGCAGATTACTTCCACAACACAGAGAATAAATCACTAAGTTCAGACGCGAACATCGGGAGCGGAAAGAAATGCCGAAAAATCGATTCGCAGGTATTATCTCACAATGCATGCAACCAGTCAGAAAAATAAATCACTCTCCAACAAATACGGTCGCCAAAATAATCGAATTTTTCTCCCCGATTCGAGAACACAAACTGCTTTTATCGGCCGAGCATTTTTTTTCCATTCGTCGACAGCTGGGAGAGGACGCTCAATTTTTGCATATCAAATTACTTTTATGGCGACTCCTGCGACGGACTTGTTTTTTTTATTTAAATATTCCGTCTTCAGCATGTCATGCGGAATACGTGCCCTTTTTTTTTTGGGTGGGGGGGTAAGTAATTTTCTTTTTCGACACATTTTCCTTCGTAGGATACACGCGACGCGCTGTCGCTTGGTTTGACGATGTAAGTCGCCGTTCTCTTTGCTATATAAGTATAGCCTGGAACTGGACGATCCGTCTTAGCACGAAAAAGTTCACGTAGCGATAGAAGTTAATAAGAATCGGATAAAATTTTTCTCGATTCAGCTCAGCACAAATGTTTAGTTCCCATGGCTGATTGTATCTTGCATTTGCTTTGATAACATCTAGCTTTAAAAACAAGAAAGATACGGCATCCTATACAGAAAACCGTTGCAAATTTATTCAGCAAAGCTCTTTACATCGACATCTCAATCAGAAACATGCATTTAAATTTTCCTATGACAAACAGGATCTTAAGCTAAAGGGAAAGACAGCATCGAAAATTGTGGTTAATATGTTCCATATCCCACGGCATTTCAAATTATTTAAGAAAGTGAACTGAATTTAAATAATTTAATTAAAAGCATTAGGCATGTTGGGTCACTTTCCTGAAGCTACAAATATTTTTTTTTTAATTATAATCGAATGCATGCAACCATACTAAGTTGTCATCCAAAGAAATGAATCTGTAATCTACTGATAGATTGCATCCATAAAACTTGAATTCTGTCGAGAAATATTGACTAATGCTAGTACAGTTTGGCACAAGGCTAGAAAGATGTATCAGTGTGGAATTAAATTCTTTTTGCTTGTAGGTCCCAAGTACTTTCATGACAGTCCCTAGCCTCCTGAGTTTTTAGCTCAACATTCTCCCCCCCCCATTAAGCGTCTCTCTTTCTCTGTTCTATTATCGTTAAGTAGGTTGATTAATACATTACTTTTTATACATATTTTCAACCAATACAATGCCCAAGAACCACTCAAAGTAGAGGGTTACTCTCTGCGGGGGTTTCTTTCTCCTCTTTGTCCGATTTATCATCAATTCAAAAAAAAATCTCGTTAAGTAGATTGAGTTATACATTATTTTTATACTAATTTATACAACGCTCAACATTCACTCAGAGTAGAGGGTTACTGGTCATTGTTTAATGATCGCAAGAAAAGGCGGGAAGTGCCGTTCATAAGGTTATGTATGAATGAAAAAGATTAACTCTATACTTGAAGAAGTCAACAATATAGTGATCGGGAAAAAATCTGTCGCAGTAGAACTTACTTCTTATTAATGGAATACGAAAGGAATTGGGATGAATCATCTTTATTCAGGAAGTATGGCTGACCCCAACGGTAGGCCTAATAAAACCAAGGAATGGAGCTCGTCAGAACATTTGACATGGGAAGAGCGATAGAGTAGCGAGATGTTTGCGACCTTTCGTCTGTGGGGAAAAATATTTGTAGGGTTGAAAATGATTCGAGTCCAACTTTTGAACTTTATCAAGACAGACAAGTGAGGACTGGACAGTTCCAGTCTAGTTATGGCAGCAAAACTTCATTTTTGATCTGATCTCGATCATATAAAGATACAAACCAACAGGGGGAAGCACAAAACTTATTGGAGTGGTGCAAGGAACTTACTCTCTTTTCAGTTGCTTTAGCATTGCTAACTTTTGTGCCTAGCTAAATTGGTAGTTATTGCCAAAGATGAATAAATAGATAGAAACAGGCGGAGAAAAAACTGAAATAAATACACAGTCGTGGAAAGAAAGAAAGAAAGAAAGAAAGAAAGAAAGAAAGAAAGAAATTAGCAAAGTATTGCGTCACTAACTTGCTAATATAGCATTTAATTATAATGGGAAAGTTTTTAATTTTATTTTTATAAACAATTTTTTTCTATCCTCTGCCAGCCGCAATGATGGAGAAAGCATTACCTCGAACCATCGCCAGTGAGACACGCTGCAAGAGCCACTCCGTTTCGCGAGGCTCGTCCTTTAATCAAGACGCAATCGCGCCAATCCTCCGAAGGAACGCCATCGAACGAGGGCCAATGACCCCAGAATCTATCCGCAAGAGAAGAATATTTAACTATTTTTTTTTAATCTCTGCGTCCCGGGCGATGGAACCCCGGCTCAAACGGGACCTGGTCAAATTACCGGCCGAAAATGTATCCGCACAGGTCGCATCCCTAATCAACGACTTCAATCACTTTAAAAGGGAAAATGGTAATGCCATCCGGCCTCTTTCCATCACCAGGGTCGAGGCCTACGGGTTCGATTTGGGAGAGGAAACCAAGCTGCATCCAAACCTCTTCTGATGATGTCGTTTATTGCTGCATGCCGTGTAAATCGGCCGGCACTACGACGACAGGAGAGAGGATGCAAACCAAACTCATCGATGGAAGCTCCACATCTGCATCTGTGACGCCCACATAATTTTCTAATTATTACGAAAGATAGATACATAGAAAATGGAAGAAAGAAAGACAAATGCAAGCAAGAAAGAAAAGTAATCTTTAAACTTTTATAAAATAAGTCTCACTATAAATTAACTCAATCTCTGTAGATACTAAACTGAAAACGAATGAAACTTCCAAGATGATTATTTTGACAATTGAAACAATTAAAAAGGTTCAATTTATGATTTCGAAATCCAACATTTCTCCGGGAAGAAACTTATAATTGTATCCTGTTTATTGATTTGCCTTTTGAATTTCCATTCACTTCCTTTGATAAGTGGATTTAATAATCATTTCATTTGAAACCTACAT